CAGATACTTTGGTACGCTTCGGTAGTTTTCAGAAATGTCATATTCCAGTAGCCTTGCTGGTACTGATTTTTGTTTTTAGTGTATCCAAGATGAAACAGCATGGTTCAGCTTCTTCCTTGAAGGTAGTGGATTCTGTTTTTCCTGTCATCAAATGTAAAATGTTTTGCTTTTTGGTGATTGTTTTGGGGTAAGAGGATATCAGAGAGCAGGAGTGGGGCAAGTGCTGCAGTGTGTGCAGTTCTGCCCTGGTCTCCTCAGGCCTACAGTTCCTCTTCTTTCACTCCATCACCAGGGGACAGGAAGAACAGATGCTGTAAAAGCTGAAATTTGCCTAATTCTTTTTCAACTACTCAGTTACACCTACAAAATAACCTTTGTGAGACTTATATTTTCTAGTTTTGCCCAAATAATATGAATACTCATCACATCTTAAACATTAATTTTTATGTGTTTTGGTATGTTTTGTAGTTTGAATAAATAATTCTTATAAGTCTATATAAACACATTTTAGATGAGGTGATTTTAGGGTTTTTTTAGTTGAAAGAGTTTAGTAACTATTTTTGAAACAATGCTTGTTATCCATTACCTTCTCCTTTGAGTACTGAACATTAGTATTCAATATCTGGTGCAAGTGAAGACATAAATTAATGGCTTATGACTTGAAACAAGGTACGATATTCATGTTCAACCCTGTTATGTTTTGTTTATGAACTACTGATTTTTAACTTTATCAAAATTTTTGAGATTAGAGTACTCTTGCCACTTGTTCTCATGGTAGTGAATAGTCTTACTGCTAAAAACTCGATGAAATTAGGTTATATTTTGAACTTTCCATCTTCTAACTGAACACTCATGGTTGGTTTATTATGTGAACATTTATTATAATCTTATTACCAGTGACTGTGCTGTTTTGTACGGTTCTGGTTCTTGCAGTATACTGTGTTTTGCCCTGGTTCAGTCCAGATGCGACTGGTGCTTCATTGGCAGTGCAGCTAATGATAGTTAATGATAACTTAGACTTTTGTATTTTTCCTGTGTTTCTAGCTAGATAGATACAGTTTGTGCATATTGATGCACAAGTGAAGTGAAGTACAGCTGAGTTGAGGCTGTTGCCACTGATAGTCTGGTGAAGAAGTGATTTTCATTTTGAATGTTTTAAAAGTTATTTGTTCAAGTATTCCAAACTCACAGGTTTGTATAGAGGAAGAATGGCAATGCTGATGAAGGCATGACTCTGTAAGTTAGACTAATTTATGGCAAGAAGTGGTAGAAATCATGTGTCAGAGCAGCCAATACAGAAGCGAAAGAAAACTTCTAAACTCTCAGCTTTATAAACCTCATTCTGAAAAAGAAACAGCAGACTTCAACACTACATACTCAGTGAGAATAAGGGAAGTTCTCTGAATTAGAATAGGTATGTTAAATCAATCTGTTTAACACAAGTAGTTGATTGCTGCTGTGTGTGAAGAGCATATTAGTAAAGTAGATGTTAATAAACCTCAGTTTAGCTTTTCCTAATGGAACCAGGCTGGTATTTCATTACCTATGGAATATGAAGGAGGTCCTGGGGAGAGAGGATGATGTGCTATAAGCAAGTATCTCTATGGAGTCTCTTTAATACCCAGTGGACTTCTCTGTTGGAGTACGTAAGTCTATCTTTCAAGGAGTTTTTGGTCTCCTTTGAGAAATGGGGCTGAGGGATCATAGATGTACTGACAAGCTGCCTTCACTGGAAAGCAGACTGGATTCACCCCACATGTTTTGATTGGTGAGGAGCAGACTTGTGATGCTGTCCTCGGTGGCATGTCAGGCTCTGCCTGCTCTCATACTTCAAGAGAGTAGCCAGACAAAGAGGTCATAAGCCTGTCTTCCTTGGGCTCATGGGTGGATTACTGTCTCTTTTCATTCCCCTAACTGGATGAATGTTTCATATGCAGCATTAATTATTTTTTTTCATGTATATTAAAGAATAGTTGAACTCTCAGTGCTGGGAAAGATGCCTGGTCTTCAAGTTTTTTGCCCTTTTGTCTTTGGAGGAAAAAAAAAAAAGTAGAAAAAGGTAAAAGGTCAATTTTAGCTTTAACTGAGATGTTGGAATTTAAATAGATAGCCAGAATCGAGTCTTGTAATCTAGTAACTGAATTTCAGACTTTTATAACATTTTTATTGTTTCACATTGAGAATGTTTTTAAATTGCATCTTATTTAATATGAACAATATGTTGTAGGCCATTACAAATCAACTACAAACCTGTAAAGAATTAATCTCTCTCAGAGTAAGATGTCAAGTATAATCATAATTTTTTAATAGTGCTCTTTGCTAGAAGAGCTGAAAAGAACTTTAGGTATAAAACTGTAGAGAAAATTGCTTGGACTAAGGAGTAACAAGACTAATAGGTAGTGATATTTTTTTAACGCTAATCAAACGTATCTGTAAAGAAACAGAAGTAACTGATTAAATCACTGCACAAGTATCAAAAGTGAATCTGTTCAGCTGTTTGAAACTACTCTAGCTGCCTGTAAAGTAAATTATGGCTCTAACATGTTGTAAAGGCATGGCATTTGGGGAGTGTTTTAAAAAAGAGAAGGTGGATACAGAAGAATATGGAACAAACTTACTAGAGCTAACTTCATACTGTGTTATGGATGTAAGACAAAGTAAGTCTGAAGTATATCGTGTCTTAATTGGTGGCTGCTAAAACCACAAAGGCTGATAAGGTCATTTTGTGCCCGATTCTCAGTTTGAAAGGCACTTGGGTTTGTGCTTTATATGGTGTAGCAATGTCTGAAGGACCATAAAATTAAAAAGTTACAATTCTGGTAGCACAGTTCAAAATAAGCTTGTAATTTTTGTGAAGACAAAATCAACAGATCAGTAGAAAGGTAATTACAAAGGCATAGAAAAGCGGACAAGATGAGCAACTAAAAATCCTGCAAGAGAAATTGGTAAACATCTCTTTCTGCAAAGTTGTTTTTTTGTATTTAACTAAATTCTTTCAGGTTATTTATATATATTTTTTATTTATTTAAGATATAGGTGTTTATAAACATCTCCTTATATTATGTAGCCATAAGACTGCATGTAAACATTAAAATGTTATTTAAGTGACTAGCAAGTTTATAAATGTTTTCTCCAAGTTACCATTCATGCATTTTTCATGATTATGGTTCATAAATTACATAGGAAAGTCATGATACATATTTGCATTCATAATACATTTTGTTGAGATAGTACAAAGAGTTGTTGATGGCAATTCTGTTTTAATGTTGTGTTTTATCATATGATTCTAAGATTGTAATGATTTGACATAATGGTGTACCGTGGCAAAAGTGAGCAGTCCTATGTTCCCTCAGTTCCAGGCTGCTTGTTTCCAAGAGCTTCAGATGTTCTCTAGCTAAAAAGCAGTGGGAGATGATGGTGAGATCATTTCAGCACCATGCTAACACAGGTATTAGAACAAATAAAGGACAAACCGCTCAGGGAACACAACTGAGAGAGCATATTTCAGAAGCTGTCTGGGTGCCTTGGTTTGAAGAAGCAGTGGCCCAGCTAGCTTTCTTTTTTATTTAGTTTGAGTTTTTTTCACATCTTAGTAGGAAAATCAAGCAGATGGATAGTATATAAAACTAGAAGGGTCTTAAGAATCCCGGTCCCCTTTCATTTTTGCCAATAAACTGAAGGCATAAAGCGTATATGGTCAATGCTATGCCATGTAAGAACCAAAGAAAAAGCATAATTAGTGATTTCTGAATTGATAATAGACTAGTCCTTGGAAGTGTAGGTCTATTCTGTTCTATTCCACTCTGTTGCTCTTTGTGTTTGTCTATTTCTTTTAATATATCGTTTTCTTGGAGTTAAAAGGTTAAGATACATGTAAACTAAGCAGTTACAGTAGGTGATATTTAAAACTCAGATGGCAGTCGCAGGTAGATACTTAGTGTTCTTGGGCAAATCAAACCTATTTGGCTGGCATGGTTCTTTCATGTTGCAAGTTAGCTACATCTCTTTTAACCTGTTAATAAATTGCTGTTCAGTGACCAAAATACAGTCCTGACAAATGTACTCTTGCACTGTTAATGCACTGGAAAGGTCGTTTTCCTTCTTACTGCTCTGACCATAACACCATCTGCTTGTCATCCTTTTATTGGCATCCTCTTATTCCTTGCAACAAATATTAGCTTCTAGCACTCTTCACATGAACTTCTAACATAGTTCTTAGTGATGTGAATGCCATTCAGCAGCCTGTGATGATGAACCCACGTCCCCTGCTTCCTTGAGGTTTCAGTAATGTGCTTTCTCCCCTTTTTCCCTTTGTTTTTTGGAAGAACTTTGTTGTAAATGTTCAGTAGCTAGCTGATTATGTTTCTTCAAATGCTTCTTTACAACACCATCTTTCTAGGAATTTATTAATTTAATAAATCTTGATAAAACCTAATTCAGCCAACACAGCAGTCAGTTCTAGTTATCGCTTTTTGCATGTGTTTGCATCCCACTCTCTGTTACCTTATATTTGACCTATGATTTCTGAAAAAGCAGTGGGAAGTTTTTCTAGGATAAGAGGTCTTGAAAGTAATAATGATGGGTTTCACCTCAGCTTTGCTCTATAACCTTCATCATCCCCAAGGACTAGCGTCAGTTCTCCCTGGAATCAGACTAAAAGATGAGTTGGGGAAGCTAGAAAAAGGAAGGAAAGTGGCTCTTGCCCAACTTTGCAGTCTGTCAAAACCACAGTTGAACTTTTACTTACAGTGTGATAGTTGGAGGTATTGTTACAATTCTTTTGGACTTCAAATAAGAAAACATTTGAATGGAAACACTGTTGCTCTGCTATTAGACATCTATTGGTGATTATGTGCATGAAAAATAAGGGAAGGTTTTAAGCATTTTTGTTATTGACTTGTGGGATAGCAAAATACCTAAAGAAACACTGAAGTGTTTGCTTCCCTGTCTTTTTTTTTCTCCAGATAAATAGCCTCCAGCTGGACTTTATTATTGCCAACATGTATCATTCTGTGTCTGAAACCAGTCACCCGTTGCAAACAGAGGAACAAGAAATAGGTGTTGATCCCTTACAGAGTTATTTGAACAAGCCAGGGGAAGGTGAGTTTTGTACTTCTGTACTTTTTTGACTTTATAGCTAGAAACCTTATATAAGTGTGTCATGATAACTGTAGCTGTTGTAATTCAGTTCTCTCAATGAAGTTGAACAGGGGAACTTAAAGAGCCTTTCACAGAGTATATGGAGAACACTCTGACAGTAATGAAAACCAGGAAAAAAGTCAACTTTCAATTACAGGCAGAAACGTTAGCCAAATTTTTAATGCACTGTCATCCTTTTTTAATCATAACCCAAATACTGACTTTGGCATAAGAATTTTGAAATACAGCATGGCTATATGTTACGTTCTCAAGCATGGCCTCTTGGACTGCTTTCGTTGTAGGGATTTTTTTCTGATTTCCCTTTTAATTGTGCAGTAAAGTTCAGTATGTTATTTTGGATGAGATTATGCAAATGAAAAGACTGATTTTCTGGGTATTTTTGTTTTACTCGGCACCTATCTTCTTATTTGGGGGGAAAAAAAAAAAAAAAAAAACCACAAAACGAAACCAAACTGCAAGCTGAGATAGAATGAACAGACTCTAGAGGTAGAAATTACTATGTAACCTAAAGTGAATTAATTAAATGCAGTATTTGGAAGACTCTAATGAACAGTGAGACCAAACTGCCTGCATAATGCAGTGCATGTCTGTGTTGCTTGTCTCTTCTACTTATTTGCTAGTAGTGACAGTATAGTTGGTTCGAAGAAAGTGATAAGCTTAACGAGAAAGCTCGTCCTTGTCATGAAAACATTCCTCAAATACTCCGTAATACACAGTGGCACCTTAACTACCTGTAATTTTCCAGTCATTGAACACATGTACCAGGAGGGCAAAATAAAAAATTTATTTTAAATTACAGAGTTGAAACAACTTTGTCACATTTCCTAAGTCCCTCATCCAGATCAACTACTCTGTGTGGGTGTATCTATCAATCCTCTGTTTACTAGTGCTTTTTAAAAAAGCTATGTTAAGTTTTGCTTAGCCAAGTTTATTACCTAAGTTTGTAAGAAGCTGATGTTTTGCTTTAAAGTATATTGGTAAAACTTCATTGACCCTCTGAGCTAATTTTTTTTTCATTCTTTTTTCATTGGTTTGTAGAGCTTTTTCAGTATTAGAAAATGAGAATGAGCATCTAGAGGGAGGTATTTTAAAACCTGACGATTACATGAAATAGTTTTTCTAGGTCAGTGTTCCTACTCTATTATATTTGACATCTTAACAATATGAGGCCATTTTAGTTTGATAAACTAAATGCATTTTTGTACATATTTTTAGAAACTTGAAAATCATCTTTCACAATGACCTAAAATAATAACTGTTTTACAGAGAAAATATATCTTACTTGTACTCTATTCCAATCAAGAAGAATATAAGCCTTTTCTTCTGATTTTTTTCTCCTTAAAAAAATAGTGGTAATTCTTTCACCTCCGTTTCAAGAAAACCCAAGGTTTTTACCCTGTTAAAAAACCACTGTAAATCAGTTTTCCCCTTTATTGTGCCCAGAAGCAATTAGTTACCTTGACTAAAAAGGTTTCTCATTTTTATCCCAACCTTAACATTTCTATGACATACAAAGTTATTAGTATTGAATTGATGTTTAAAAGTGCCATTAATTCATTTACCCCAAATGTTCATTAACAATGTAAATGTATGCTGATGTTCTATGAGACAAGGAAGTGACTAATGACTCTTCGCACTAACAACACTTAAAATGAATAGAAACTTTAGATAGCTAATCTTGAAGTAATCAAGACCCTCATTCAGCTTGGCATCTCTGTATGCTCTAAAACAGCTGTCAACTGTTAAAAATATATACACAACACACACATACGCACATGCGAAGATAAAGATATGTAAATACATGGTTCCCCAAGTCATAAAGGTTACCAACTATGGCACATTTTTTATGTTCTATCTATGTAAATATTTTATATAAAGCATCCATTTCATCTTCATTTGTTTTTTCTTTTTTCCTGTGAAACACTTACTGCATTTTAATTTGAAACTTTATATATCCAAAATAAGTTTTTGAAGTTTTACTATTTCATTTTAAATAAAGCATATGCTTAGATGGGCATCAAAGTATACAGTTGTTCCTGTCTGTGCAGTCTGTCTCCATTTGTCTTCACAAAAGTATTTAAAGACAAGTTTTTTCATCTTGGCCTCAGGTTTCAGGCATGATATGGAATTAGCTTGGTGAAAATCTGTATCATAAAGTCTTCTGTATCATGTATCACAGAAGTACGGAGTAGGGGTGGTCCATTGCTCGGGAGGTGTTCTATGCAATATTGCGAAATACAGGACATCTGAACTGTTTTTTGAAGCTATGCTGAATGTTTAAAAGTATTACCTTGGGGTCAAAGTGGTGGAAGTCTTCAATGAGTTGAGGTGATAAAGCATATCACGGATAAGGAAAAATAGATATAAATATATATATAAATATAAATATTTCATCACAGAGCTAGTCAGATTTGTTAATCTACATGAAGTATTGTATTTTTAGTATGTGCAACTGATAGCAAAACTTGATGGAGAACCAGGAGATGTCACGTCCAGCTGGAGTTTTGAAATTATCTCACAAGCCATTTTCATAAAACGAAGGAAATCTCAGAAATACATGGGTTGCTGTTAAGTATAGCTGGTTGGAAAGTTGCATGCATAGAATATTTTTTGTTCATGTGCTGTCAACTTGGAAGGATATATTGGATAGGATTCCAGGAATATGTTGATTAGTCTAGTGGCACTCAGTGCATTCATTAAAATTTCAGTGAAGGTATAGAGAGAAACCATGGTTTATTTGGGACAGGACTGCTCGCGCAATGGAGGGCAGACGTAACATTCAAAGTATTCTTGAGATATTGGAGAAGTGGCCTGAGAAGAATAAGACGTGGTTCACTAGAAACAGCTGTGAGGATTAATGTTGCAAATGCTAGGCAGGAGACAATTACCTAGCCGAAGAAGTAGAAGTAGAGCATTACAGATGAGATCATTTGGAGAAAGATCTGGGCATTCGTAGCACTCCAAATTTTGTGTAACCAAGGAACTTTGACTCTTGAATTATGCTGAGTCATGAGAATGTGCTCTTTTGCAAGTTAAAAAAAATCAGGATAGGCTGTTAACTAGTTGACAGTCAAGGTCTTTTTTCTGTCCTTTTAAAATGTTTTTTTTTTAAAAGCAGGTAAAATAGTATTTTAGTATTTTTCTGATGGTTGATATGGCCCATGTTGGCCTGGTATCTGATTTTTTTTTCCAAGATAGAAAAATGTGCATTGCATTATACAATGATAGACAATCATATGATTTTTAAATAGCATTTTTAATGGTAAGAAATCTGGCAGGGATTCTCACTTTTGCAATCTGATACTTCAAATGGAACATTTTATTTCTTTTAAAGAAATTTTATTTTTGGACTATGTATTTTGGTATTTTAATTTACATGCATGTATCTGTGCATTGTAATGTTTGATTTTGACTATAGTAAGTTGATGGTATCTTGCTACATTTTCTGCTCTAAGAATCCTCATCATAATGTTCATTTTATTCTAACAATATTTTTTATTAAATAAAAAATTTATTTCCCCCTGAAATAGGGAACATTATCAGAGAAACTGATGAATCTTACCCTTTTTTTTGTCTCCAGCAGAGACTTTAGAAACCCTGAATATATGAAATTTCAGAAACTTTGTGCTTCTAGCTCCTCCCTTTGTATTGCATCTGACAAACTAGTTCATTTCAGATGCTTGAGGATTATGTTACATTGCAGTGGGATAACTAGGTTAACTGTTTCTGAGCTGCTGCAAATTTTATCTAAGTTACAGTGTTCACATTCTGACACACCTTTTGAAGAGCATAGTAGGTAGTATTCCCATTTCATTGATGTAATGAGAAAGTTGATCCTCTAAGGACAGACTGGAACAATGCAGTTAATACTCTTCAATTTAATTTGCTCAATATCACAATTAATACAATTAAGGTCACTTGAAATGAAACTATTAACGAATTGGGTAATTTACTTTAACAATGTCAGTGTGTTCTCAGAATTACATTTGCTTTAATTAGTGAACAAGCTATTACTTAATAGCATACTTCACACAGAAAAATGTAATGTGTTCTTTGTTCTTAACAGAAGAAAAGGGGCAACCTTTAATGGGTCTGGGTGTTTTGGATTTGGAGTTGGGAGGGGGGTATATTTCATGTCTAAAGGCCACAGTCGGTGGTGGGGACAGAGTAGGCTGATGTAGCTGGAAGGGCAAAGATAACTACTGGAGTGTGTGACTGAAATTAATCCCATTGAGGTAGAGCAGCTGCCCACCTAATACTTAAGCAACCATTGCATCCCCCCTGATTCTCAAGGTTGTGATGAAAAATATTCCTAGGTAGAAGCCATTGAGAATGCAGCTGTAGTGAGGAATTGAAACCTTACTACTTTCTCATCAAATATTTTTCAGTAGTGTATTGTATGACATCATGTGTGTTATGTAATGTGTGTTCTTCCATCTTCTCTCCGGGGAGGGACGTGTACATGAAATACAGCATTGTATTTTTTAGAGTCTTTTTAAATATGCATGCTACTTTGTGTTTTCATTAAAAAGACAAGATTGGAACAGAGAACCTCTCTGCAGTATATTGGAACAGAAGATGCTGCAGGTTGTGATTGTTCTTCATGCCTTTGGGATTTCATGCTGCCATTTGCATCGGGCCCTGAGAATGTCCTCTGTCTTTCACTGGCGAGTTTTACCCTTCAGGCAGAGAGCTTCAGTGTGCCCCACCAATGTAGCTGTTGCTAGTGATCCTTATTCAAAACCCTTGAGCTTCTCCTTCTGGCCTTGGCTTTTCCATTAATGGCACAGGTATGGTAGAGGAGAAAGAGCTGCCTTCAGTCTGGTTCGCTTTGTATTGGATGAATAAAAGCAAGAATGGTTTTCATGTCTTCAAACACCATATGCTAGCATAACAGGCATTTCAATATTCATTTATTAATAACTACTAGTGTTTAGGTG